TTTAAATGAAGCTTCTTAAACATTTTAAAAACCTTATTTACTTTACATACAACAATAGTTTAGTTATATATTATAGACTTATAGAAAGAGACCTTCTAAAAACATTAAAATGTATGACTGGCACGTGAAACCTTAAATTAGTGAATAAATGAAGACTCGGCACACCACCTCTGAAAGGTTGCCGACCCCTGTTTTATAGCATTCACCAATGTGCTCTAAATTGTGACAGCTCTGTACAGTGTATTATTAGGATGCTTGGAAAGATATGGATCCTCAGTTGGTGTAAATTATCATAGCTCTGTTGACTTCATGTTGACGTGCCTTCAGCTGAGAAATCTGCATCTTTGTGAGCAGCCACTATAGTCTACTGTTAAATGACTTCTTTTGGTGGCTTATAGATAAGTTGTAAAATATTATTGTAGTTTCATTACAGCACCAACAGTAAGTTTTGTTTTTTTGTTTTGTTTTTTTTGGATTCCTAATGCAGTTATTATAGAATTACTGAACATAAATAGATGAGTCATCATTTAAGGATTTCAGCTTTTTTTTGTCCCAATGCTGTTTGCCTAGACAATCTCTTTTCAGGAACTGTTTAAAGAGAATAACTTGCAGTTTTTGAAGGGCACTGAAGGAAGGGCCCATGGAATTATCTTGCAGTTCAGTGTTAATCCCCACTGCTGTCATAGAAATTATTTCTGCAGCTTTCCATAAGCTTCCACACCTCCATTGCAGCAACATTGTATGTCCTTGGAACTCTAGAGAACTCAAACATCTCCTAGAATTCCTATTTTGAGACTAATATATATGGTAAGATGCTGTGTTAACTTTTTTTTACTGTAGTAAAGAGTTTCCATACAGAAAATGAAGTACCGCCCTCTGGTTAGGGCTGGGGGCTAGGAGTCAGGATCCCTGGGTTTTACCCTGTGCTCTGCTACTGTGTGATCTTGGTGAATGATTAAAAACTTTACCCATGCAAAACTGATCTTCTACTTCACAGGGATTTTTGAGGCCATGTTTATAAAGTGCTCTGAGATCTTTTTTAGATGAAAGGCTCTCTAGAAGTGCAAAGTAGTTTTAATTTTATTTTTCAACCTTTGCTAACTTTGAGTTCATAGCTTAGGCAAAAAAATTCCTTTCATGTTGATATTTTCCATGCTGGGTTTACAGTCTGATAGGATTTTTTCCTCCAAGTTGGACAAAATTTGGGACCTGAGTCTGCAAAGACTTGCCTACTGTGTTTTAATTTCTGCACTGTGAATGGCCCTGTTGAAGTTAGTAGGACTACTAAGCATATGTACATGCATACAGTTACATTCGTAAGACCTTGTAGGACCGGGTCAGTTAGAATTGAAGACAGTTTCTTCCAAAATTCCCGTGTCTGGTGATCATGTCACAACGTGATGGTATCCTGACTGTTTGGGCTTGCCTGTGTAGCTGTGACTAAATGGCAGTATAATCATGTTCCTGAAACAAGATTTAGTAACATGGTTATACCACAGTTTGGTCTGGTATTCACAAGCAAGATATAAGAGTCACTTTTGTGTTTATGTGCCTGGCAAAATAATTATGAAAATTTACAAGCCCAGGCACAAAATGTTCATGTGTGCCCTTCACTATGATTCTTGATAATGAAATATCTAATGGTATTTTACTTGCCTGTCAAAGAGATACATGGCCTGGGGCAGATAGAATTTTGCAAGCCTTGTCATGAAAGTGTACATCTTGCATGAAAATTAATATAAGACAAGGCACTACTGTGTTATAAGACAATTTCCCACCATGCAACTTCTGGCAGTATAGAAAGGTTCTAGAAGGCAAATCGTGGTCTTTGGGGGAAAAAACAAACCCAACACCATAACTGACCTTTGTGCATGTGTATAGTTTGCCTGCTTGTGCCTGCGTTACTAGAGATTTATAACACCCTGTTTTCACATTTCATCTTTTGGGCTAAAATTTTCCATCCCTGCTTGATGATGAAGTTAGGGTTCATTCTGTTTTTTAAACAGTTTAAGGAAAATCTCTTCAGGAGTTTTTGAATTACGGGAGAATTTCTTTTAAAAGTACATATTATTACCTTGTACCATATATAGATGTATACCAGAAAGTACTGAAGCGTGTACCTTATTCTGAACATAATCTACATAGCATTTTTGCTTGATCTATTTTTAATTTTTTTTTAAGAACTTCGTTAGTGGTTAAAAATATCACTTGTGCGCATGATCCTCGGCCTCTAAGATATTTCAGAGACCTTAATGAAGCCCTTTTTCCTTTCAGACGTATCTTCACATTCTTCTGACAGACTTCTCTAGGGGGCTGGGATATTTTTCATGGGGATACTAATTGACCCAACTAAAAATTCTCTAGAACCTCTGGTCTTAACACTAGGACAGCTGACATTATTGGGGAGGGGAGGTGGGGAAATTGGGTTTACCATGATTTTAGAGCTCCCATACCATATTATAACAAGAAAGGCAGCATCCCATTTTCAGCTTCTTATGAAACTTTCATATTTGGGGCTGCAATTTTCCAGGCTTTGTCTCTGTCCAAAGATGAATTAAAAAAAAATTTTTTTTTTGTGGGGATAGGATGTGTGTAAGTGTGTTTATTTCAGTAGAATAGAAAAAAGATTGCTGTTAATGTTTTTTTAACCATCTCTTTTGTTGAAATTAGGCACAGCAGTGCCCTAGCCAAGACGATTGTTGGGGAGTTGTAATATAAAAAAGTAGATGGAGTTGTGTAGTCTGGTGAACATTGGTTTTATTTGACCAGGCTGTGAGCCTATGAAAATTGCTATCTAAGCATATGTGCTAATTTTGGAACAAGATAATTCGTGCTAATGCCTCAGTTCTGCACACGTTTTCCCATGTGCATAATATGAAAGTTAAGCCTGTATATGTGGTGCAGGATTGGTGCCTACTCTTGTAAAGTGCCTATCTTGAATAACTGCAATATGCTCGGGATCAGGCTTAAAATGCTCAGCTAGGGAAAGCTGCACTTTATATACATGTCATGTGGCTACCCAGACAAAGTGAGCAGGCCCTCAGCAATTGTACACCATTTAATATACTCTATTGGGAAGTTTGCTGCTTAGTGACACTCCAGAGAAGCGGAAGAGGCTTTTCATAATTTTGAAAGGCTCATAAGCTGGGTCAAATGGAAATCAGTTTTCAGGTCTGCAGATCCTTTACTGTGGGGTTGAGGTGGATTGAGTAGTGCCCCAAAGGCAAGAAGATTTCTCCTTCCCACCATCCCAAAGCCACTGGAAAAGGCACCAAGACTCCTAGGAAAATGGGCTCCAGAAAAGGATGTTTGAGATAATGCCCCTTCAACCTGTACCATTCAGGCTTTCCCTCTCCCTGACACAGAAGTCCTGTTGGGAGTCTGTCTTCACTACAGAATTAGCCTGAGTTCTTACTTTGGTGTTGCACCCGCCATTCACATGTGCAAATCTCTCACTTGAGTTAAGTGGTGCTTTCAACCTGGGCACAGCTGAGGGGTTGGTTTAGAGTCCAAGTTCAACTTTCACTTGGACTGCTAACTTGCAGTGACGACGCAGGCTAAATTATTCAACTGCTGATGGCTCTCTAGTGCCTTCCAACAACTCTCCTGTCTGTCATGAGCACACAAGTTCTCCCACAATTCACTGGGTTGGAATCTTAGAGCGACTCAGCTTACTGCAGTACAAAGATCCATGGCATATGCTCCAAGGAGTCCTAGTGACATACTGGAGAAGTACAGCACCTGTGGGGACACAATAACGTGGGTAGGTCTTTGCAATGTAGCTGCTTGCGCCCAGGTGCCAATTACTCCAACTAACTCTGTAGTGAAGACATGTGGGGAGAGCAGAGAGCCAGGACAGCCCTGACGTGATGAGACAGGAAGCCAGTAGAGGTATATCCACCCAGCCCATAGCAAGCCTTCCAGTCCTGGTCAATAGACTCAGGCTAGCAGAGCTTGGGCTAGTGCTATAGAAATAGCTGTGTAGACAGTGCTTTGGAGTTGTGGCTCAGGCTGGAGCTCAGGCTCTGAAACCTAGGAAGAGGGGGTGGGCTTCAGAGCCTCAGCTCCAGCCCGAGTCGCAACTTCAAAGCACTGTCCATACAGCTATTTCTAGATCACTAGCATCAGCCCTGCTAGCTTGAGTCTATGGACCAAGCTGGGACGCTCACTCCCGCTTGGTCCAAAATGCTGTGTAGACATACTGTTAGACACCAGAAGGCCCCCACTTGTCACTTGGCCCCTTCCCTTCCAATGAAGATGTCGGCCAGTAGGCGTACACCCTAGCTCCCTTGCGCAGCACCACACCAGCCAGGTTACAAGGCCTCAATTCATCAAGTGGGCTGCTCCTCTTGCTGACTGAGCTGCCATATTTTTTTATGTAGCACCTATTTGAGGCATTCCTCAGTGAGTCCTATTTCTGAGTCAAATCATGCCTTCTAAGGTTTGTAGAGGAAAGGTTCGCTTCTGTGGATGTTGTGCGATTTATGGGATACGGTGTTATGGTGGAGCCTTGGTGTAGAGTTCCAGATTATGGCATTTTCTTTAAAAACAACCATCCAGCCACAAACACCAGAGGACATTCCTTGTGTGTATGCACTAAATGATCTTTAATTATGATCACATACTGTTTCACAAATGGTGCAATACAATATCATAGAATTATTTCTAGCATCTTGTAGTACTGTGTGTTTCTCTGTACGTCAGACTACCTTAAACCTCAATCCTGCAAGTTGCTTTACATGGACTTCAGTGGAGCTCTGTGTGGGGCTATGGGTTCACTCACACAGAGCTCATTGAAGAATCAGGGCTTTGCTGTTATTTATATAAAATTACAGAAACTGTTCTTATACAAATACTTCATGTTAATTAGAATAACCGAGAAATAGCTCACCTAAATTTGCAGATGAATTATCATTAACTGCCTCTTCCCAGGCTGTGCTGTTGGCTGAAAATAAATTGTATAGTGCATTACTGTTGACTTAATTATTTACATACCTTAGAGAGAAGAGAACTGATAAAAAGAATGCCAAAGACATATGGAGCCATCACAAAAATGAAATTACCGAAAAGAACAAATACAAATATAGCATAAGGTGATCTTTTTTTTTTTCTATCTGATTGTAAGAAAAATGATTAAACTATATCACTGTTTGAGATGTAGTATGCGATCATGTTAGTACATACAAGAGAGCTTAAATAAGACTGAATAATATGTAATAATAATGTAATCCACTATTGTGGACATCTGTGTATGAAATGCTAAAAATATTTTTTAGTACAAACATAATATACAAAAAGATACGATTGTCCAAACCAAATGCAAATTAACAAAATATAGGGACATAACACCAACTATCCAGCTTATCAATTGCTTGCTTTGCTGTACATGCATATTAAATAAAGTATTACCCACACTATCATCCTGTCCTGTTGATAATCCTGTGTGGTGAGCATTTTACAAATGTTGGGCTATATGCACAGCATACTCTTAGAACAGTCTTGTTGGGGGGAAGAAAAAGCAAAAAAAGGAAACTACGTTTTGTCAGGGTTTTTCATTACATAACACAGAGCAGCGCACATATACTATTGGCCAACTGGGCAAGTAAACAAATGATTTTTTTTTTTTTTTTTTGAAAAAATAAAAATAAAAATCAGATTTTTTGGCGTTACTTAAATTGTTTTCTTTTAAAAATGAAATGTTTTAAATGAAATCTCAATGTAATATAAAATTATGTTAAGTTTTAAACTACTTTTAATATCTTAAAACATTTATTAAAAAAAAAAATTCAATCCATGAGCCTCTATCAAAATCTTTACACTAAAGGCTGCATTTCTACATCAAGAAAGTTGGTTTGCCCCCTGATTCTAACTTTTGAGGTCAAGCTTTATAAATATAACACAATAAGTCATGAAGTATATTAAGGGCATGTTTCGTTTAATAAAAATAAATTTTATATGTTTTGTGTCAAGTTACATTAAGATGGAATTTAAACAAGCGCAAATCATGAGCAAAAAATTAATTATGTAGTAAATAAGCAATATGTCATTCACTATTTTCTAACATACTAAAAATGTACAATAATAAGAATCTGAAAATATTAAGCTATATAATTGCTAAATAAATGCATATAGTTATAGTGTACCCTCCTAGGTAGCAAAAAGACGTACAAATCTAGTGTAAAGGCTCTACTGAATTGTAAATCAAGATGTTTTGTTATATCAACTAATGAGAATGCACCCTTCTTCAAAAAATAACTGAAGTATAAGTGGAAAAGTTGATTAAAAATTGATGATTTAAATTTAGACTTTCCACTTGGTGACTTAAATCACTGATTTAAATTGCCTTGATTTAATCAGTCCCCCCATTGGCCAATATTTATTTTACAAGTATAGGTTTAAGTATGTGGAGGCTAACGGTAGTAATTTATCAGCAGATTATACAGCTAAATTGGTGCATGAGGCATACCGAGGATACTGGGTGATTGTTGGAAATACTATAATAATTAGCGATGGGCCCAAACCATACCTACAGATCCAGATCTGTATTGCAAAACAGTTTGGGGTTGTTTAGAACTGGTGTTAGGATATTCTAGTGATAAGGGACAGTCCTAAACTTTGTATTTGGAGTCCCACTCTCTCCAAGTTTGGGGTGGTTTGGATATGGGATTTTTGGTTCTGGGCCTGACTCTACCAAGTATTTAAAAAAAAAACAACCCACCCAACCCCAAAAACTAAAAACCCAAAAAACAAGTTGAAAATGAAACAATGTTTTGGATCTGTTTAATAATAGACTGTATTTTTAGGCCGTGCTGGTAGTGCTGCCTATCATTAAGGTTGCCTCCCACATCACATTAACAAACCCTGTTTTCACTTCTTTATAACTTTACTAAACCTTAACCATTTGGGCTGAAATTTTCCATGCTGGGTGACTGTTTCAGGCAATTTTTTAGTCAAAACAGTTAATCTGTTTTAAAAAATAAAGCTATGGGAAAATAATTGTGTTGTCCTTGTTAAACATTCTGGTGACCTTCTGTGTCTAGTATGTCTTTTTCGTCCCTGCTTAAATTTTGCACAAGCAACCTTAGTTCTGGCATTTCCCAACTTTTGCATGCTTTGACTAATATTCTTTTAATGTAGTTTTTATGCATATTTATTTGAAAGTTAAAATAGCAAGATGTCACTCATTAGGACATAATCAAATGCTCAAAGATAGAACAGGAAACTAATTTTTTTATTTTAAAGAGTTAATATTCATCAAACATTTATGAAGATATCTAACAAATTACGACAAAACATTGTCTAATAAGGATGAAAGGGATGAGGTTCTTAAACACTGACTGGTATTACAAAGAATTTTGACTTAATGTATTCATCACCTTGATGTACATTTCCAGTTTATTTTCTCCAAAACGTCAAAATACCTTTGAAGGCTTTGTTGAAGTTTATATTTTCTCCTTATATTGATGGTTGATTAACACCATTGCATATATTCTATACAAAAATATTTTGGAAGAACGGACTCATTAATTTTGACTGTTTCATTTAAACCTTTATAGAACTGTCCAAATCTAAATTACGCCATTGGTGGGATGGATGGTTTCTGTAGGGAGCCTGGGAAGTCAGCTGAGGAATGGAGGTGGGAGAGAACTGTACTGTGAAAAGGGATTGATTCTGGCTGTAGGGAGGCAAATCTGAGTCCCGATTCAGGTCTGCACTGAATCCTGCACCTACTGCTGAAACTCAAATTCCTCTCCAGTTGTTGTCATCTTGCTGTGGGTTGCTGACAACTCTTTTGGATGGCTAATCAGAAGGGCCATGTGACTTACATTAGAAGGTCAACCTGGGATGGGAAACCAACTTTATAGGAGAAAAGGGTGACCAGACAGCAAGTGTGAAAAATCGGGACGGGGTGGGGGGTAATAGGAGCCTATATAAGAAAAAGTCCCAAAAATCGGGACTGTCCCTATAAAATCGGGACATCTGGTCACCCTATTCTCCTATGGCAGAGGTGGACTATAATATCTAGGCTGTGTGTGTTCTTGTTAGGGAATGGAAAGGTGCAAAAGAGAGGAGGGAGTGGGGGCAAAAGCTGAAGGGAAGGTTGAGCGGGGCCTTGTAGTGTATGTCTACACTGCCATTAAAAACCCACAGCTGGCCCATGCCAGCTGACTTGGGCTCATGGGGCTTGGGTGAAGGGTCTGTTAAATTGCAGTGTAGACGTTTGGGCTTGAGCTTGGGCTCTAGCACCCTGTGAAGTGGGAGGATCACAGAGCTCGGGCTGCAGCCCAAGCCTGAATGTCTACACCACAATTGAACAGCCCTGCAGCCTGAGCACCGCGAACCCAAGTAAAAGTATGAACCAGCCACTGATGTCTAATTGCAGTGTAGACACACATATAGTTTCATAGTGTTTAAGCCCAGAAGGGACCATCTCTTTTTTTTTGTTTTTCACCAAAAAGTTTAGTAGTGATTTTACATCTAAAACTTGTAAAATTAAAAACTTCCTAACTGTCAGGGTGGTTAACCGCTGGAATAAATTGCCTTGGGAGGTTGTGGGATCTCAGTCATTGGAGATTCTTAAGAGCAGGTTAGACAAACACCTGTCAGGAATGGTCTAGATAATCCTTAGTTCTGCCATGAGTGCAGAGGACTGGACTAGATGACCTGTCGAAGTCCCTTCCACTCCTTTGATTCTATGATTTCTAATCATCTAGTTCAGAGTTTCCCAAACTTGTTTTGTGGTGCCCACTTTGGAAATTCATGCCCCATACATGTCCCCCTCACTGAGGCCAGGTCAGGGGGTGGATGGAAGGAGTGCCCAGTATGGGGGTGAGAGGAGTGTCTTGTACCCCTGGGGGACAGAGGTTGTACCCACCAGGTGACAGTCGAGGAAGCCTTCTGCTTCCTGTAACAATCAGGCAGTCTCAGCTGCCTGGACCCAGCTCTCTGCCCATTTTGCTTCCCATCCCTTTTCAGGGAAAGTGAGTGGAGCTGCGCTGAAGGAAGGCGGGCAAGGTGCCATACTTAGCAGCTCTCTGAGTCAGTCAACGAGTGCAAACACCTTGTGGCAGAAAGCTGACTCAAGCTATCTGTCCAATAGTACTGTTGTGCCAGCAGTAAGAATTTAAAAGTATGTAAAAGATAAAACTTGCTGTTTCCACAGATCACTGCCATGGAAAACAGAGCAAGTTCTGTCTAGATTCAGGGCCAGATCCTCAGCTGGTTTAAATCTGCACAGCTCCACTGAAATCGAGAGACTTGCCAACTACTCCATCCATATTGGCCAGGGGTTAATTTGGAAGCCATGGCCCTCCACTTTCAAAGAAGCACCAACTAAAATCAGGTTGGTTGGATGGAACTTGAGTTATGCAACAGTACTCATGGGGAACTGTGATTCAGAGCTTGGGGCAAGGAGGAAAGAGGAGACCGCCAAGGCATCCGGAGACTAGATTGGATGACCAGCTCTGTGCCATTGCCCTCCAGGATCTTCAGGCCCAATTACTGACATTCCCCCCCATCCTCTGTGGTTCCCAAATAAGGGTCTGAGCCTCAGATGGTGTAAATCACCATAGTTCCTTTGAAGCTTAGATTTCCTTTGTCTGTGTGTGATTTAGAATTTTGTCCCTTTTATATAATTCCTTGGCCGTAGCTGTCTGTTATCTCCACTAACAGGCGTGGCTACATGGTATACCTGATAATCTCCCATGAAGCTGTCTTCCCAGCCTTTTCTTCTGTGATCAAAAGAATAAAAGTATAGATTTCCCTCCCTGAGAGGGATCTGACCTACTGGTTAAGAAGTCAGTCACCCTTTGCTGTATCACTGTCCAGCTCTACAAGAGTGTGTTACCCACTCAACAAAACATGTCTTTGTTTTATCTGCTGGATGACTGTGTGGTTGTTCACATACTGAGTATATGACAGGTATTTACTCTGCCTCTAATCTCCATACGGCCAGCAAGAAAGGGAGCCCCACTGTTTGGGATGGGCACCCCTTCCCAGCATCCCTTGTTATAGGAATAGGTCAGTAATTGATGTCTGGGACCAAAAATTTTGCTATTGGAGCCAAAAGTCTAAACCTTTGATTTAAAATTAGGGTGAAAGCCAGCAAACAGGAGAGAATAATGTCGCCGCCACCACCATTAAAAAGTGGTGTGTGAAATGGAATAGGAAATGGTTAGAATCATAGGACTGAAAGGGACCTCGAGAAGTCATCTAGTTAAGCCCACTGCACTCATGGCAGGACTAAGTATTATCTAGACCATTCCTGACAGGTGTTTGTCTAACCTGCTTTTAAAAATCTCCAATGATTGTGGAATCTCCATCTCTCTAGGCAATTTATTCCTAGAGTGCTTAACCACCCTGACAGTTAGGAAGTTAACCACCCTGACAGAAGACTCCGTTGGTATGACTGTCCAGTAGGTCGTCTTACGATGGGTAGAGACAGATTGGGTTTGGATGGCTTTGAACATATCTGGTAGGTATTGGAAAAGAGAGAGGTTCTCATGGATGATGAGCAGGTCAGATTGAAATTGGTACAAAAAGAGGTTGATACTGCTTTTACGGTTGATATGGGAGGTCACGTACTATTTCAGCACGTGGGGAGGGAAATAACTCATTAGGAGGGAAACTGCATTTGGCTTTGGGGAAGGGCTCTGTGCTAAGGAATTATTCAAGAAAGGCTATGGATGCCAATTTGTTTTATTTTGGGGGGAGGGTTGTTGCTAGAGTGTAAGAGAGGCATTTTATTTTCCGTATGCTAGGCTTATATTAGAGAATTTTGTCTTTCTTAGTCTTATCTCAACACCACAATAGAAGGAAAATGCTTTTTGTCCTATTGGATTAGAGTGCGTGTGTCTGTTTAATAGCAGGTGTCTATTTTTTGAATTGAGAACGAATGTACCATGCGTCTAGGTAGAACAGAGTTCACATGACTACAGAGTCAGAAAGAAAAGGTAAGATCCCAATACATGTTTTCTTACAATGAGCTCAGTCAGATGAGAAGAACATTTAATGGTCTGACTGAAAAGTATTGGGGGCTAGGAGAATCTGTGCTTAAAACATTTCACCAAATAAGTTATGAAAGGTGACATTGGGTAACCTGGGGTCCACAGGGTATTCAGTGCTGGGTTATTATTATCCTGTTATAATCCTTGTGGATTTTTACAGGGCGCTTCTTCCTTGCATGAGGGGTAGATTGTAGGATGGTGCTTGTCAGAAAATTTGACAAATGGACAAACAAGGACAGCATTGTTGGTACTGTGTAGGTGGGAGTGTATGTCTCTCTAGTGTACTGGAGATGAAAGATGAGGTGAGGTTAGGTTATTGTTTAATGTTTTGATGCCAATCTGTTTTTTGGTCTTGTTGTCCTACTCTGACAGGTTTAGTAGTGTTTTTATGACTGCAAACTGGATCTCCCTTGCATGACTCAACAGCAGCGTCCAGCCAATTGAATGGTGATGTATTGATGGTCTCCACAGGGATTGGTGGCTGCAATGCCATGCCTCCAGTCAATTGAGGTTAAAATATGTGTATGTATATGAATTTAGAGCACTGAATGCATATGGGGTACAGTAGTCACATGCTGCATTTAACTGTATTTAAGAGCTGTCTATATTACAACCACTGTCCTACTCTGAGCTCCATGTGGGCAGAGCCCTGATCCCATGCAGAGACCTATTGACTTCGGTGGGTCTCCAGGTGAGAGCAGGGAATCACCTGCACAGAGCTCAGTGCAGGTTCCCGGTGTTTAAGTATAACAATGTGCTAGTATGATTATCTGCCATTCTTGAGGGCGGGGGTCCATACTGCAACATTCTTTTTATTTTGTAGAGCTGCATTGTCCGATTGACACAATCAGTAAAAACAAAATATGAAACCACCCCAAAAGGGGGCAGGCAACTGTACTAGCATGCACTTAAGACTGCAGTGGGGATGGGACCTTTAGAATGAGGAGATTTACTTTACTCTTTTCAGTAAGATAGAATATAAGTGATCAAAATTGTGAGATATCAGATTTTTCCTTATAGCATGATGATGTTACTCATGGTTTTTGGCAATTCCATTCTTTCTCAGTAGTGTGAATAAGCCCTTTTGTCACTTCTCACTCGCCCCAAAAAATTAACAAAGGTTCCCCACGCATAGTGATTTGGACAGAAAAGTGGATAAAATTTGGAATTCTCATACAAATGGACATTCTCCTAAGCAAATTAGGGAAATATGGTCTAGATAAAATTACTATCAGAGGGGAGGATACAGAACTGTTTAAAAGACCATACTCAGAGTAGTTATTAGTGGTTCACTGTCAAACTGGGAGAGCGTATCTAGCGGGGTCCTACAGGGGTCAGTTCTGGGTCGAGTACTATTCTGTATTTTCATTAATGACGTGGATAATGGAATGGAAAGTATGCTTATAAAATTTTTGCAAGTACTTTGGATGACAGGTTTAGAATTCAAAATGACCTTTACAAATTGTTGAATTGGTCTGAATTCAACAAAATGGAAGATCAGTAAAGACAAGTGTGAAGTACTTCACCTAAGAAGCAAAAATCAAATACACCACTGCAAAATGAGGAATAACTGGCTAGGTGGTAGTACTGATGAAAAGGATCTGAGGGTTATAGTGGATCACAAATTGAGTATGAGTCAGTATTGTGATGTAGCGGCAAAGAAGGCAAATGTCATTCGGGGTGTATTAACAGGATTGTTGTATGTAAGACATGGGAGATACCTGTCCCACTCAGCTCTGGTGAGGTCCCTGAGCTGCAGTACTATGTCCAATTCAGGGTGCCTCACTTTAGGAAAGATGCTGACAAATTGGGGAGAGTCCAGAGGAGAGCAACAAAAATGATTAAATGGTTTAGTAAACCTGACTTGTGAAGAAAGGTTAAAAAAAACTGGGCATTTTTAGTTTTGAGAAAAGAAGACTGAGGTGGGACCTGATAAGTCTTCAAATATGTTAAGGGCTGTTATAAGGAGGACTGTGATCAGTTGTTCTTCATGTTCTTTCCCAGAGTTCCACCCTTGTTGACATTGTTGACTTCTCCGGGGACATGTGATAGTTGAAGCACAGAACACCTAGACTTTGCAAAGGCTTCCTGCACAATTACTCTTTACTTTCAACAGCATGAGAGATCTACAGATCTAAGCAAAACAATAGCACACGTATGATGGGATTAATCTGCAGCAAGGGAGATTGATATTAGGAAAAACTTTCTAACTATAAGGATAATTAAGCTCTGGAATAGGCTTCCAAGGGAGGTTTTTAAAAATAGGTTGGACAAACAGCTGTTAGGGGATGGTCTAGTTTTACTTGGTCCTACCACAGTGCAGGGGCCTGGATTTAATCACTTCTCAAGGTCCCTTACAACCCTACATTTCTATGTTAAAGATGCAGTAACTAGAAATGTTTCTAATGCTCTTCAAAACTATTCAATCCTTTACACAAGACTTCAAATCTGTTTTGGTAGAGATGGGGAAAGGCTCTTGGGTATAAATGATGGCAAGAACTCACAATACATGAAATATCAACAGTCCAGCTTTGTTGGACTATTGTGAAAAGCTAAGACATTCTTGTGAAACGTGAGAAGAACATAACTCTATTAACAACCATTAGAATAAAGACTTGCATTTCTCCAGCAAGTTTGTGACTCACTTGTGGGTTCCAGATGTAAGGGAAAAAGTTGACCTTACAATTATGGAGTTTGTCTACCTTGGAATTATTCTCTGTATTGCAGGTCCAGGGTATTATTTCTCAGGGCCTGGGGAGAGATTTCTATTTGTACCTCACAGATACAACTTTCAAGTCATGTTTACTAAAAGTACCTCAAGTTTTTTTTCATTGCAGTGATCCATGTAATGACTCTAGGACTTTAAATACCTGCAGATTAATTTGTGGCTCTTCTTTGAGACTCTGGAACACATGGACACATTCCTCACAATGTGAGAGGAAAATATGTGTAATAAATAAACCAAGTTTGGTGCTGTTTCTTATAAGTGAATTTCTGGAATAATTGTGTATAGTTATGCTAGTTACATATAGATGTGAAAATTACTTGGTGTGAATGGTTAGCTTTTCCATCTCTGCAGATTTTGGCTCTTTGACACTTGGCAATCTGTCCTTCAGGCTTCAATGAATACTCTGTCTCTCAGAACATCCAGAAGAATTTGGTTGCACCTTTGGGTAGATTTACACTGCACACTAAGTCTGTGGAGCGTGGGCTAGTGGACTCAGTGTTTCCAGGCCCAAGCTTGCGAGCCCCCACTGCATTGAGAACCTGGATTTACAATTGCTGGCCTGTGTCTCACAGCCATGCTAAGGCGTCCATACTGTATTATGCAGACCTT